TTAGGATCCTCGGGAGAACGGACCCCTATCAACAATGGAACGTCAATCAAACGCTTTAAATGTTTACTATCAGCTTCGGTCGAGGGAATCCGCCTACAAAATAACTCGAGTTGTTAATAAAGCCTGCCAACTTTTTATTCTGCTACAAATCCTCATTAGAAAAATCTCCCTCTTTATAAATATATGTATCATTCTCCGTGAGGAAATTGCTCGTCGGCCAGCAATGAGGAAACATTGGCTTGCATTTACCCACTACTCATGGCTCGACCCTGTAAATGGTCGTGTGAGCCAAGGGATTAAGGGGAGTAACAAGGAAGAACTGGTCAGCAAAGGATGACAACTCAAGAAAATCTTCAAATACCGATATCGTCGACACCAAAGAAAATAAATCTTGTTCTCTTAACTAGACCGAGGTACCGCGGTGGAAGCGGAAAAGATGGAAAAAAAACAAGGTGATAGAAGGTCTCTCATTCATATACTCACACTAGTATTGATAAGCCCTTACATACGCACGCACAACTTGATGGATAGAGTTGTGAAAGAGCCACCATCAAATGATTAAAAATGCCAACTCCAAAAGTAGTAACTGGTAAAGGAACACTCATAGTTGAGAAGAGATACTCATAAATAAGGATGATGCAACTGAAATACTCATTGCATATTCTATCCTCCTCATTAGGGTGGTGGAACCCCAATATGACGGTTCTCCCACTTTAAGGAAAGCTTTATTCAGGTTGCCCTCTTTGGCAAAAAAACAGACATGGTAGAAGAATATATAGAACCTTCCCATATAGAATTTGAATTCTTCTAGTTTATTTTTACATTGTTTTATGATTTCTTAACCATGTTGTGTTAGCTTTATCGAATACAAGAAAAAAAAATTACAAGAGAGAAAAGATCATCGCTCAAGAAGAAGGAGAAAATAAAGATCCAAGTGAAAACGATTATAGATCTTCTTAGACTTATGTTTTGGGAATATGCAAAGAAATCTGTCTTATCAAAGATCGTATCTCTTGCATGTAACACTTAAGTATTTCGGTACCCAATAATATTAATAATGACACCCTCGAAGAGACGTTTGGCTTTCTAAAGCGTGAAAGTCTGAATCCCCTGGAAACTAAAGGGACTACCTTTCTCTGCGTAAACAGAGTAAGGATGGTCGGTCTACGAGGATGAAGTTCTCGAAACCCTCACATTGTTACTCAAGCGTAAGGGTTTGGGGGCAACGGTTATGGGTCGTATTCGTCTTGGACCGACCACCTGGAGATAGCATGTTTTGGGTCTAAGCCTCTTGACCGATTACACAGTTACGTTTCTAGAATATTCTTCTTACCGTGGAACTATCTTATACCTTGTTACATGGGATTTACGCCTCATGCGCATCAATTATTAGGATCATGTCTACTAGGAATTGGGAGTTTGTTGGTGCACTAAGTTGTACACGATGTTTAACAAGTCAGTGGCTCCTTACATACCTAGATTGACTTATAACAACTGGAGGCTGGAAGCATCATTTGTCTAGGTACTACAGGTTGCAAAGAGAGTTAGTTTGAAGGTTCACATTAATAAGGTGTAATCAAAGGTTGAGAAGTTGGGGAAGTCTGGAGTGATCCTTGGTTTACTCTTGGAGGAGTCATATCATATGGTGTTAGAATAGAGGGTGAAGTTACTAAGACTCGACCATCCATGTCTGATTGAGGAGGATGAGTTATGCTAGCATAAGCAGCAATTTTAGCAGATCAAGTGATTTTTGAATTCATCATAGCTTTGGAATTTCGATATCAGGGTGTTCGAAAAGAGGTCGATGTTTGCGAGGAAATAATTGTTCTTTATAAAATTCATAGGAATTAAAAGTTGTTTTCCACAAATGACGCAACTTTTCTACTTGAGAACCATAAATGATTGGTGGAACAGTGAGGTAAGATATTGGATTAGTGGAGCAAGTTTTTAAAGTGGCAGAGATGGGGCTGACTTACAAGGTTAGTACCCTAATATTTAAGTCAATAAAAAATTGAAAAATAATGTGAGTGGAAATGTATTTGAATATTTAAATTGGCAGGATTTCTTCCTTATATAATGTGAGCAGTTAAAACAATTCACGTGACAGAATCATATAACCTTGTTATAATAAAAACCACATACTCGATACGCTCTTCCGCTGTCCGTTTTGCTATGGGCCTTTTGAATGATTTGGAATATTTCAAATTTAAGAAAATAAATAAAAGTAATAGCTGTTTATGATATTCATTTTTCACAAGTGATGAAATAATCAACAAGTAACCTCATAATCATATTGTACTCATTCAATTTTTTTATGTTTCTTTTGTTGCTTGTTGTCTTTAATTAAGTTTCTAGAATATCCGCTACTGCTACGCATTAAGTTAGTCAAAGATGCAAGATCAAGTGTGAAGCTGAAAATTAAGCAAAATGCATGAAAAGACTAATAAAGTCTCAGTAAGTGGAATCCAACGAAGTTTCTAACTATGAATATTTTTAATAGTATGCTACTAAAGTTTAGCAAGTGAATAACATATTTTTAACTATGTAGAACAGTATAAAGAGGTGAAATTATGTAAGCATGACAAAAAAAGTGATGGTATAGCAAAGCAATGAATCTTCTTGTGTGTCATATGAGGAAGATCCATTTGATAAAAGGAAAAAAGTTGCTGTCACGGGTCAGGGACGCGGTTTCTACTTTTTCTTCTTCTGGTTGCTTTTGTGGGAGTCAGAAAGTGTAAAAATGAAGATGGAGAAGAAGTAGCAGAGGTCAAAAAGACAGGGATATGAGACAAAAACTTCATATTTGTTTACGATGAGAAATGGAAAATCGTGTCTTCTTTTTATCTTAAATTAATCAAAATTCTATCCACATTGTTAGTGGCATACTCTGCGGGATAATAGACACCTGTCAATTGTCATGTAGAATTTATACATGGGAAACTAATTCTTCATTGTCTGAATTTTATTTTGACTTGAGGTTCATGAGATTCATTAGTTATTATTAGTGCGTAGTGAGATAAAACAATTGGTATATAAAGTTTTTAGAGTGATGGATTTAGATTGGAATCTTTAATGCGTTTCTGTATAGAAATATATATAATAATTCTGTTTATATTTGAATTTGTACAAAACGAATCAAAATTCAAATATAAAAAAGAGAATCTAGAATTTTTAAAATATATGTTTTGTGATGCGATTTTTAAATTTGAGATGATTTATTTATAGATTATATTTGTGTAGTTTTGTCTAGAGCAACGTTTTTTTAATAGTTACATATTTTTATTCCGTAACACTTCACGAAATATTGTATATTTTTTTAATTTAAAATTTAAACTCAAGCACGACCAAAACAAACATGATACCACCGTGATATACAATATAATAATAGACTTTATCAATTAAAATGAAATTTGTAGACAATATAATTTTTTTAACTTTAACAACAAATAAAAATTGTTCAAAATAAATATCACATTAAGTTTTTCTATGTAACACTAATTAATTTTATCAATATTATCTAACTATTTTTTACTTTTAACTCAGTAAATCTTAGGCTTAATTATAATTTTAGTTTCATATTTTATCTAATTCACAAATTTAATCTATTTATTTTATATTTAAACAATTTTAATTTTTTATTTTAAATTTAAACAGTTTGATGTCATCTCATATCTTTACAATTAAAATTAAGGATATTTTTATTTTTAAATGAAAAGTTAATGGTAAAACATGATAATGTATCACATATAAGTCTATTATTAAACTTTGTAGATAAAAATTTAAATCTCATCAAATTTCCATGAAAAACATGAGAGAATTTAAATTTTTTGAATTTAATATAGAACTAAAATTGTTTGAATTTAAAATAGAAAGATTAATTTTTGAAAACTAAAATTTTTTTAATTTAAAATAGAAGAAATAAAGTTGTTTGAACTTGTAATTTAGTCTAAATCTTACTATACATTTATAACTAATACTCTCTATGTCTCAAATAAATGTTTCTTTTAACTTAAAAAATTTCTCACAAATAAATGCAACATTACTTAATGGGTATTGTTAACTTGTGCCCAAGGGCACAAATTACGAGACCCATTTATAATAAATTTTTATTAGAAAAAATAATTTAAAAATTAATTTAGTTTTTAACTTATACCTCATGTGCACAAGAGCACGAATTAGCATTATCTTTAATTAATTTGTATCAATTAAATTTTACTCTGCATTTATGTTAATGCATGTGTAATCAATAATTAACGACAATTTTAAAAATTTGTGCAAAACTTTTTATTTTTATTTTGAGGCAGAAAGAATAGTAATTAAAGACAATTTTGTAAAATTTTATTTACTTATTTCTATAAAAAAAAAATTACATGTAACCACTTTAAAACCTGGACCCAAACTCCATGTATGTTTTACTCTATTTGGATAGGTATAGAACTACTCGAAATTGTAGTATGCCGAATCTAGTTAGTAAAGTTACCAAAATTCATAAGGAACTATCACAAAAAAAGACAAATTGTCTGAATAATGCGAACCTTACAGTGAGTGCCATTCATTCATGGAACAAAGAGCTATACAGCTAGTCAAAGAAATTAGAAACCAATGTTAGCTGCCATTACGACAATGTGATCATTAGCAATACATTTTCCAAAGTCTAACTTTTTTTATCCATTAAAAGTAGATTGCAAGTTGTAATTTGGATAATCAACCCCAAGAACATTAAATTTTAAATTTCATATAATCTTATCAAATTTCAAGGCTACTCAATTACCGCTACTAGAATGTATATTTTTCATCCAAAAAAGGTTAACTAATCCACTGATAATGACTATCCCAGTTGGCAAGAAAAATAAACATGCAGAATTATCTTTTTTAATGTGCTACTTGCTATAGTTTATTAAATAAAATAGCAATACAAACACCATAGTATATCTACATAACCCCACAATTTAAGAAAAAGATTTCAGCAAAAGATGTAGTGAAGGCTATTCTTCGTGTTCTTATCTTAGCTCAACAGTCCAATTCATGGTATCCTCCGCAAGACCCATCTGTAGTCTGGTAAGGACACTATAAAGTTGCTGTGAAACCTTTCCAATGCCATCTCCATAAGATACCCTATAGAAATATTGAAAGAAAGTGTCAATCATTAATTCAAAATAACTTTATAACAAATTAATGGAGCCAAATATAAATTGTCTTCTGTAATTACTATGACGTACTTCTTGCCAAGATAAGTAACACTGCCAACAGGTGATACAACCACAGCTGTTCCTGTGCAGAAGACCTCATCGGCATCTACCAATTCATCCACCGACACTAGTCGTTCCTCAACCTGCACGTATTAGATGATGTTTTGCTTACTTAGGCCTAAAATTAATAGAAACAAGAAGCAAAGTGTAGTAGTATGAATACAAAATGAAAACCTCACTCCTTAACTTGTGAAAATCTGGTTTTCAAAACCTATTGGTTACCTAGACCTAAAACCAATAGAAACAGTAAGAAGATTTTCAAAATCTGATTTTCGACTACTATAACTAAAATTAACAGTAAAATTTTGATTACAAATAGATGCAAACATCACTCTTTAATTTCTTCAATTTGGATTAAACAGTTTACTAACTTGGGCATCAATTCTTCAAGACCATGGCTTGTTTCAAGTAATGTGGCTATCAAGTTTTCTAGAACCTCTTTCACCTTCTTCCTTAGCTATACTTCCTTTGTCTTCATCATAAAGTAATCTCAACGTTTTTGACTTGCAATGGTCTTGTAATAGTGTCTAGCTTGTGCTATCTAACATCGGTTTTGTATTCCCTAAATCTTTCCTCTCTCGTACACAAAATTAGGCTGACTGCATAGAGTGGGGAAATTTCTCCAGCAGTATTCGTGATAAATAATTACCATAGGAATGTAGGATTTCCCTGGATCCCATTGTTTGGTCAAAACCGAGGAATGCAAGGACATCATTTCAAAAACAAACTTAGTCTCCATTTTTTCCATCCATACCTTTGCCTTACAAAATACAAGGTCATCTGATTTTGTTATGAGTTGAACAAGAAGCCCACGAGCCCAAGAACGTGCCATAAGCATCTCAACCAAGGCAATTACCAAGGATTCATTTAATATATCCAATATTTCACATACTGACTCTTAAGCAATTCTCAACAACCTGACAACACCCTTGACTATATCCTTCATTGCAAAAATCTCTATTTTAATCAATAGACATAAGTGTTGTGATTGCCTTGTTTCTATTCAAACTTGTTAGTATGGCAATCTGCAGCTTCACATAATTTCAGTTATTCAGACCTAAAGGCAACTGCATAACCCCATTCCAGAACTCCATTACAATTGAAAGGCAATTAAATTCCCCCTCAAAATCAGAGAGAAGCCACAGAAGTAAGAACTAACTGATGTTAAAATATTTGTTCTTGGGGCTGTTGCGGTGTTCTTAATACATGAATGCACACCTACTGGGTTAACAGAGTAACCAAAATTAAACCCAATTAAGTATTTAAAAACCTCCACACGTCAATGAGTTCCAAATTGCTGAATCAATGGGCTCTCACTTTGTACCTCCAACATGAAACCCAAACCCAAAGGTAATTGATCAAGTTCTACTCATCCCTTTAATGGAAAACCTCAAAAGCAGGACCCTGACTACCACTTGGAATGTGTTAACAATTGCTATCACCTCCATATCATGAGCGCACACACTTCCAATTTCACACTAAGCCACTAAACATGCCTCTAAAAGCAAATACACACAAAAAGAAAGCACATGCAGAAAGTATAGCTGCTTTTTGGTACTCCCTTGCATGTTTCAATCTATCTCAAGGTGAACTTAACAATCCACACCAAGCAATTTCTCGCCCAAACTCATGAATTCACTATTTTAATGGATATTGAAATGTTTTATTATGTGACTACTCTCCCCTTCTCTGTTTTCGCAACAACTCCTCTAACTCTCCTTCATTGACAACATACTCAAGATGAGTTTGGGCCTGGCCATTAGGTATGAACTTAGAAAATACCCATTTTACTCCTATTTCTCCTTGATTCTTTCCAACAACTGCACTAACCTGAAACTCTCTCCGATTTGCACAAAAAATCCAGTTTTTCGTTGTCATAGATGGACTCAATCATCTTTGTAGGGGGGCTGGCGTCTGGTGGCTTGAGTTGTGGTGGCTCTGGCAGCACAATTTGTAGTACGTCTGGTGACTCAGTTGCTCACATTCTTGAAAGATTGGCTAGCAAAAACTTTGTGGTTGTCGCGAGGGGTTCAAAATTTCATGAATTCGAATATGGAACAGTAAGCGCGATTTTTCAGTTTTAGGCATCACGGGCGTGGTGGTGGACTTGTGAGAACTGATTCTCCCATTGCACTCGTCCATAATGCTTTTGCCAACCACGACCCAGTGGATGTCATATGAGCGGACATATGATGGTTCAGGCTCAGGAGTCGTCACAGGTAGTGTTGGAAGTGGGGTCAGACTTCCTGCAATTTGGGTTGCTTCCGCGTGTAGATCAAAGTATCGTGGCCCCAGCGGAGGTGGAGCCAAATCACATGAATAATCCTCCGGCGGCTTCACTGGCAGTTCTTGCTTGGCTGTTTTTTCTACGATTGAGATCCCAATTAATTCTGTGTGTACTTTCTGATCTGTCAATTCCAGCAATGCACAAGGCTGAACGGGATCCTCAAGGACCAAGAACAAGTTACTGCAGAACAGTAGTCGACTTCTCATCTAGCATGGTCTCAACTCTTATTTCCGTCGCTTCCATTTTCCTTGGTTCTTGTTATGTTTCTGAATTTTCTCCATCAAATGCTCCAATTGTGCTCCAAACCTTTTGATCACGACTACGGAAAATGAGCCCAGTTTGCATCGAGGTCTTCTTGGCTCCAAGAATGGAACCAAAGCATAGCTTCTTCACCCTCCATACTAATAAAACCACTGGATCACATGGGTGAATTCCATTCTCCTCAAAGAACTATTCAGCCCTCGCGATCCATGCAACAAGATACATTCCCATAAAATTCAGAAAATCTACCTTAGCCCACATCTCATCTACCTCTCGTAGGACTGGTTTCCCCTCTCGGGCCCAACAGGTCGGACCAATTGATTGGAACCCAAATAAAAGAGAAGAAAATGCATTATTGACCGGAAAATGTATCACAAACGGATCTCTCCTATAACCCAGAACAAATGCTCCTCGGGAATTTTAGAATTCCTTCTACCCAAGCTCAAAGCCAAAAACTACCCAAAAGACTAATTGCCTTCTTTTTTTCCTCTCATGCTTGTAACGTGCATTTTCACTCTCTCTAACTAACTTTCCAGCTCAGCACTCCCCTCTCTATTTGGGTCCTATCAGAGATCATGTCAAACAAATCAAAATCCTTGTTGAGGGACTGATAGAAAAAAGAGTCGACGGTGATAAGATTCCTCTTTGTAAATTTCCTTTTATAAAAAGATTCCTTGTTGCTTCCTAAGATACAAATATTGTCTAGATTTTCCAACCACACTTGACATTTATTACTAATGTCTAGGGATCAAAAAGACAAACACAGGTTTACTTCTTTTTTTCAAAATTTAATTTGAAAAACATTTTTTTGGAAAAAGATAGATATCAGACTATCAGAGACAAGAAAATGTTCATCGTTGACTAAAAATCTAGTACCTGGAATCCTTGGCTTTGAGCAACGTCAATTATACTCTTTCGAGTAATGCCAGGCAGGATAGTCCCTTTAATAGCTGGAGTTGAAATAACGTTACCCTGAAAGCATATGGAAATCAGGGCAGCACAATGCAGTAAGTTCTAATGGAATAGTATTTTAAAACAATAGTAACAATGAAGCTATACCATAAAACATGCGAGAATACAAGATTTAGAAACTTCATAATCTATATGAATGATGCCAGGTTAACAAACCTATTCAGATTGGTGTGGAAGATATAGTGATTTTACTATTCCAGCAGTTGTATTCTAAGTCCAGGTAAATTTTTGTTTGTATTTCAAGAGAAATGAGAAGGTGGAAAATAAAACCATATGTGCAAAACTGTAAACATAGTGTAATAATCAAGCATATTGACAATGACCAAAAATATAATCACAGTTGCAAATTTAAACTGGTTCGTTAAGTATAATACCTTAACAACAAATATATTACAGGAAGAAACCTCCTCCAAGTATCTTTTGTGCACACAGTCAAGGTACAAAACATCAGAGTAGCCTTTAGCTTTGGCTGCAGACTGTGCCTTAAGAACCTAAGAAGAAGAATCACACATGTGCTGAGTGAGAGAAAATCAGGATCACTAAAAAACCATTAGGTATGCCCAGTGTCATGAAATGATAATTAAAAAACCAAACAGAAACTCAAGCCACCTCTGAAATATGTCGTAATTGTCAGTTCTGTCATTAAAAAATATAATAATTGTAAAAAAGAGAAAGAAAAATTTATGTTCCACAAGAAAATTCTCAATTTTCATTTCATCCATATGCTCATTTAGTCGAGTACAAGAAAACAATTTTGTTGGTATTTAGTTGAAAAGATACTGCTAATTGAAATAAATAAAAAATAGGAAAATCTTCAAACTGAAGTTGCTACTACCACAAGTCCTCTTTACAATAAACAAATTATCAATTCAACAAGTCAAATGAAATGCCTTTAAATCACTTGATTTTAATAAAATAGTATGGTAAATTTAAATTTTATTCTAAAATAACCATATTATTTAATTCATTAATGGTTGAATAAACAAAGTGCATCAGAAATGACAATAAATAAGGGTATAAAAGGAAGTTTGAAATTAATAAAGTCAAAAATAGGTCATGTTTCTTATTAGTATGGACCACAAGAATACACCCAATTATTTCTTATGAAACTAAAGAAGACTGGATGGAATATTATTTAAATTCAAGGCAATCAGGGAGAACATCTACAACCGTGTGGTGTCAGAGGACAAACAAACTGAAAAAGATAAAGGGGATGCAATCTGGCTTACCGCAGCATAGTTTCCAATGGTCTTCACACCTCCAGTACCACCAGGAGTTGCACGATGTAGATCATTCTCCACGATCAGATTGATTGGAGACAAACCTTCCTGCGGTTAAATTGATAAGCCATAAACTATTGAAAAGATAAGTTACAACCTTTGAGATGAGCGTGATTGGTTATGTTCATAAGAACAATTATTATGACAGCATCGAACTGATAATTCTAAGGTGTAATTAAAAGTCAAAAATAGGTTAGTAATGAGTACACTTCATTTAGATGTAGCTAATAAAGTCTACCAAAACGAAAAACTCTGGAATATAAACCCCTAAATTCTTCAAACAGGTTTCCCTCATATTTTCATATTGAAAGTACAATCCATTTGGTCGCAACAATAAGGCATAAATATTAAATTTCTGTTAACATTTATCATAAGTGATAGTGAGAATAGGTAGTTAACATTACTAATCCGGCTAAAGTCAGCTTTAACTCTGCTAGAGCTGGTTAGCGGAATTACATCAGTTGGTAGTCATAGTCCATACTTCATAGGGGTGTGTGTGTGTTGTGCCATGTTTTCATTAGTTGATTATGATGATCATTGAATCAATGAGAAAGTTCACATCACTAGCAAGGTATTACTAACAATGATGCATCCCAGTCCTCATAATATTCAGAAAGTCCCTAGCTCTAAGCTATTCATCGATGTGAAACTTGCGAAACACAGGAACTGAACAAGTTTATGATTCTAGGTAAGGTAATTGGGTTAACACGCATACAAACTCATTTCTTCATAGGAATGGACTCGAGCATGGCCAAACATACAAAGGGTCTGTATATCTTATAAGTTGTTTTTATATTATCTTATAACAAAAGCTGTTTTTATAACAAAAGATAAAATACTTTTGAATTGTTTTTATATATCTTATAAGTTGTTTTCAGTAACTATCTTGAAGAATTTATAAAAATAAATTCAAAAAATATATAAAAAATGTCATAAGCTGTTTGATAAAATCTCCATTCTAGCAAAACTTATGGTAGTAGATAAGCTAAAATAAGCTAATCCAAACACTTGCTTTAGTTCATGGGTTGCCTTTAGCTTATATCATTTTATCTGTATAACAGAATGAGTAAAAATCATGAGTTGTCGTGAAGCAATAAAGTTGTTACTTCAAAAACTAGTAAAACACTGCTGGATATGGTACTAAAGTATGTTTAGATAAAACTATATGTTTCTTAAATATCATATTTGCATGAGGTGAATGTTTGTGAGCTAAAGAATGAGTTTACAGACTAGTGACGGGTTTTAAATAGACGATCATGTTTGAAAATCTTAAGGCTACTTTCAAGTAAACCTTTCAAAGCTCGTTATTTACAAATGAAAGGAAATAGTGATAGATTTATATAAAAGTGCACAATGAAGAATCCATATTTCAATGTAGCAATGCAGATACATTACCTTGAAGTAGTTCCCAACAGGTGAAACATATATTAAAAAGGTGTACTCTGGAGCCGGTGCAAGCCCAAGTACCGCTCCACTTCCCATTAGCAAAGGTCTAATATACAAGGAACCTTTACCCTGAGGTGGTATCTGAAACCAAAATTCTCCTAATTAAGCTAATGTATATATATATCAAAAACTTTAAATTTTTTATAGCAATTATAGGTTTTATAGTACCCAGCGTTTGTTTGCTAAAACAGTATCTTTCACAGCTTCCACAAACTGTTCTACACTAGGTGATGGCATGCACATCCGCTCAGCACCCATCTTCATCCTTAAAGCATTTTCTTCCGGACGAAAGAGTAGTATATTCCCATCTTCTTTGCGGTAGGCTTTCAAACCTTCAAATAGTCCCTGCAATATTTGTGAACCGGAGAAACACATTCTTTATCAAAGAAACAGACAGAAAATTCAATCCAAACGAAAAGGACACAAATTAGATTTCAATTCTAATAAAAAAAAATTAGAATTTTCATAAACTTAACATCCCAAATTCAAAACCCATTTATCAATTAAGACAGTGTTCTTAATTGAAGATAGCAGAAAATAGCAAAAACAAAATAGCAGTTTGTTTTAATTCCACTAAGCAGCAGTGCTATAACGCCACTATTTCACAATATTTTGTACTAAATAGCACACAGCGAAACAATAACAATTTGCAAAGTTTTAAACAAAGGTCTCCTACAGCAATTTAGACTACAACAAAACGGTATCAGTAGCAGCCAGTACTATTTTTCTCTGTTACAAAAGAGTAAAAAAAAATTACACCCAAACGTTATTACAGCTGCAACAAAACACCTTTGCAGCATCAGAAAAACGCCACGGCTGTGACATAATGCCGTTCATAACAATAGAAAGAGAATCTCATTTAATGCATCTCTAAACATAAATTACAAAACTTTTATTTTCCAACATCTTAAAATAATGAAAAACAACTTTCAATTTCAGTTTTAATAAGATTTAAACATCACATCGCGACGAAATCAATCAGTAAAGCAACATCCTTAACATGACCGCGACACGGATATTTAACAACTACTGAATTAAAGTCAAAAGCAACTACATGAAGTCAAATATTCAAAAACATATTCAATATGAAAAATATAACCTGCCCATAGTTTAAAACACCAGCAGAAGGGTTCAATTCAATGTTCCCAAATCGTTTCAGTTCACCCTTAGAGAACATTCCACCTTGATCACATTTCGAGAAATACATATAATCAGTAGCTTGAATACCAAATCCAAGATCATCCCAATCTATATCAGCCAGCTCAATCGCCTCACTACACAATCCAACAGCATCAACAATATCAAAAAACGTAGCAAAGAAAAAAATCAATTAATTAAATTATAACAAACAGTTGAGAAAAATTGAAAATGAAAATAGAACCTGTAGGTAGGAGAAACAGAGGCGGAAGGCCTGAGAAGAGTGGAAGCTTCGAGAACATTGTGGGAAGTTGAAGGAAACTGCTTATGAAGCTGCGAAGGGGAAAGGGAAAAAACGGTTAGGAAATAGGAATTAGGGAAGAGAAAATGCGAGGAGGGAAGTAGAGAGGAAGGAAATGGAAATACCTTGAGGGAGAGAGAACGATTGGGAGGAAATGCGGGAGAAAGAAAAGGGGAAGAAAGACGGGAAGGGCAGATCGAGGAACTCAGTCGAATTCCAGTGAGTGCGGCGGTGGTCTCCATTATATTTTTCAATCTGCTCAAAGAATGACGACGATAAAACTGAATTGAAACTCTTGTTCGTACCGGCGAAACTAAATAGTACTATTAGGTTCGTGTTATCTTTTTAAATTTTTTGGTCAAAGTTTGATTTTATTTTTTTAATATATTTTTCGGATGAATGTGGGATTATTTTATGCCATAAATGAACGAGCTGACGAGGGGTTGAGTATGAGATTGGTATTTATTCTAATCAACCTAATCACATTAATGCATATGCTAAGACTGGAATTTCTTAAAATAATAATGCATAAATGTTTACTATATTTACTAGTTGTTTACCATCGATGTAATGGAATATGCTATTGAATTATTATTAAAATGATAAAAATTATTAATTTAGTAAGTAAATTATATATAATATTTGCCACACTTTGATTGAAAAGTAAATGAAGTAAAATATAAATCTAAAAACAAAATATTGTACACCTATCATATCAAACTTAAATAAATAATTGTAATAGACACTGGCATCAATTTTACATTTTAAAGTAATTTTTTATAAATAATATTTAAAGTGGTGTTTGTATTTTGACTTTTATATTTAATTATCTATGATTTTAAGTTGATGACTCTTGAATAACAACATATAATTATATACGTGAAAAATGACCTAGTTAAAACTTATACAAATATAATTATCTTTCAAATAACAACAATATTTCTTTTCAAATAACAACATATAATATAATATAATTAGAAGTTTTTTTAACTTACTCTATATCATATAATATACATATAAAAGTGGGGATCAACTTATTTCAAGAATAAGTTTTTCTAACTTATTTTATATCATAGTCTTTAAATTTAATTTAATTTAGTGGTTAAATTAATATTTTTACTTATAACCATTCGATTAAATCTAAATTAAAAGTTATGATTGTGAAATAAACTAAAATAATTTACTTTTCGAATAAGTGGATTTTCTCTCTCTCTCTCTCTCTCTCTCTCTCTATATATATATATATATATATATATATATATATATATATATATATATATATATATATATATATATATATATATATATATATATATATATATATATATATATATATATATATATATATATATATATATATATATATATATATATATATATAAAACTTTTGTACTTGCAAAATATCGAATCTTTGTTGTTTGAATCTATAAATAAGATTAACAACTTTTATAAATAAATAATTAATGGAATAAAGATAGTTTAAAAAACAATAATAGTTAGAAAGAAAAGTATAATTAAATAATACAAATATTAATGAAATAAATAAAAAATATAATTACAAAATTATCCTTAAATTTGACACCAAAAATTGTTAAAAGACTTAACAACTTTTATAAATAAGATAAGGTTAACAATGTTTTCTTTTTTTAATAAATTTTTTATAAAAAAATTATACTTATAACACAAATATAAAATTTGTTATTAACCGGTTTTATTATTGTATTAATTATAAATAAATAAAAATATATTATTAACCACATATTTTACATATAACTCATTAACCAAATTTATTATTTCATTAATCAATTAACTGCATAACATTAACCAAGTTATGACATTTAAATATGAAATATAATACTCAGTCTACACTCCATTAACCAATTTCAAGTTCTTGTGTCTGGACTTCAGGTCTTAAACAAGAGTTATACAATCTCTGATCATGTCAAGTAGATTCTTAGGAGTCGTTCTGTCAGATACATACCTAAGATTACTATTATTCAAGAGGCTAAAGATCTGAACACGACCAGTCTTGAAAGTCTGTTAGTAATCTCCAAAGTCATGAGTTAGAACTCAATGGAGATGAAGAACCTATTAAACAATCAAAGTCTCTAGCTTTGAAATCTGTTGAGAAATCTGCTAGATCTTCACAGACTTGAGAGCATAAAGAAGTCACTCAAGATGAAGCTTCTGAAGATGATTCTGATGATGAAATGGATTTAATCATTAAGATATTTCAATATCTTGCCAGCAAGAAAAGAAGGTTCCCTGGAAGAAAATATGGATATAAAGGATCAAGCTTCAGACTCAATAATGATGATCAGAAGGGATGCTTCAACTGTCAAAAGCCTGTTCATTTTATGGTTGATTGTCCAGAAATTCAAAAGGACAAAATAAAGAAATGAGGCTTCCAGAAGGATAACTTCAGAAGAAAAGTAAAGAAGAGTTTCATGGCAACATGGGATGAGTTTGACAATGAAGAAGAAGTTGGAAATTTTTTTTAAAAAGCTAATCTTGCCTTGGTGGCCTCAACATTCTCAGACTCAGAATCATAAGTCGATTCTGACTCAAATTCAGAAGATATTAATGAGGTATTCTTTAAACTCGCTAGACTTGATCTAATTGCTTTTTGTCAAGATCTTATGTACAAATGTCAGCAGAAAGCCAGACACATGAGAACATTGATAAAGCAATACGATTTGTTGAAAGATGAACTGAAAAACGTCTCAAAAGAAAATTGAATCTCTTGAAAGAGATCATATTGCTCAAGAAAATAAAGTGTCTGATAAACCCTTGAGTGAGTATGAAATGGCTTTTCAAGAATTTACCGCATCTGGTTTTGAAAGAACTAAACTTGCTTCCATGATCTTATAAAGTAAGTAAGAGCAAAGGAGAATGTCTTGATTATCATTAAAATCCTTTTAATCCCATATCTAAGACCTTGATTAAATCATCAGACCCTTCTTCTTCCAGCACTGCTAAAAAGGGTAGAATGCTTGTTTTGTGATTGTTGTTGACAATGGTAAAGTTCTAAACCAATCAAAACCTAAGAGGGATGAGTCAAAGGTTTTGAATAAAATAGAACCCCTGATTCAAAAGTCAAAAGTTTTGAAGAAAGCAGAACTCAATAATTTTGGATCAAAGGTTCAAAAGTCAAAGTAAGGACGTATCCAAGACAAAACCTTTATAAATACAAATTTTGGAATGAGTCTGGACCCTACCATAAGGCACAAGCTCAAAATAAAAGGAAACCTAGTAAAACCAATCTCAAATGACCCATAAGAATATAGGTACCAAAGAGTAATATTATTTTTACTATAGAAATGATGAAAAGGAAGAACAAAGAAACAACTTTAGTTCCAGGATAATGGTTGATTGCAATTTATAACAGCAGAAAAGTCTATGTTCCAAATCAAAACTCAGGAGAAGGAAGAAGATATGGAATCTGGAAGAAACTAGTAAGAAAAAAACATCGGTACCGGGAGGATTGAAGTTGACCAATCAAAACCTGAAGAGAATTGTTGGAACAATGTAGTTCCTCAAGAACAATCTCAATAGCAGATAAGAAGCTGCACAAAGAAAGTTATGGCTATCTCCTTGTTTCTATTCAAAAATTTCTAATCTTATCTAATATCAATTAGAAGAACTTCATATTTATAAAAATAGAATTACACTTAACTATGATAATACTACTTCTATCATAATTGTAAAGAATCTTATTTTATATCAGAGTAGAACATCTTAAAAATCTTTTAAAATCTATGCTTACATATGATTAGAGAAGAAGAGTCGGATGATGTTCAGAAGCTACTATGATCAGAAGCTCTGGAATAACCTTTGAAGAATATCAGCCTCTAAAACTCTAAATAAGATTAATTGTCTCTGGTAGACACACAAGTGGATAAAACGTTTCAACTGCTTCTGGCACCTGTCCATCGATGTGTCATAAATCTGAAACGTCTTCTAACACGAGGTTTGTACCTGTTTGGGTAAAAACCCTTCAGATCATGATGATTTGTCTTATTCTTGTGCTTCTCACTTATGTTATCTTTAAGTGTTTTGATTAATCAAAATTAACTTTTCACTCAAACACTCTCTTTATATCAGACGCACAAACTTCTCTCTCTCTCTCTCTCTCTCTCTCTCTCTCTCTCTCTCTCTCTCTCTCTCTCTCTCTCTCTCTCACTTCTCACACTTTCATTTTCTCAAACCTCCTCTGAAAAATAACCCATTTCAAAAGAAACCCTAAAGCCCCTTTTGCAATGGCGTCTTCATCATCTTCTCGACATACACACAAGATTGTCGAATATGGCAAGAGTCTGAGTATAAAACCCAAAACCATGAGTATTAATAACGAGGATCTAAAGCTAATAATGGAAAAAATTATTGATTTTGACTCTTTTAATCAAAATGGGTATGACCTTTGAAGTTTATACATAGTTCAAGAATGCTCTCGTTTTTTATCTATTGAATGGACCATCTTACCCTCATTTGGCAAGGGACTTCTGGGTTAGAGTTGAAGTTTATGATGAACTTTTTGTGTTTATGGAACAAGATCTGATGGTGTAGAACGACAAATCCTTGAAAAGGGAAAAGCAGAAAGAAAATAGGTCTGGAAGAATTTAAAGAATTGGATATTAGTCCAGCAGTGATGGGTGTTGATGTAACCATCACTCAAAAGACTATTTCCAAGCTTATGAGGGTAACAAGCACCGAAAGGTTCATTTTGAACACAAAAGAAAACAACCCAGAACTGATGCCATTAAAAGATGTTTGTTTGAGCTCTCTAGAGATACATGTTCTTCAGACTGTGGGAAGGTAAAAAACATGAAAAGAAACTTCAAGCTTCTGTTAAAAATTCTCATTGGGTGTCTGATCCCCAAAGAAGGCATCACTGATCAAATCTCATGGGATCATAAGCATTTCATCTTTTACTTGTTCAATGAAGGTAAAATCAATATCACTGCTTACATCTTCCACCATCTTTATGAGGCTATCAAGAATAGTAAGAAGCACAATAAGAAGAATGTACCTTATGATGGAATTTTGTCTGAACTGTTTCATCAGGGTCGTCTAATTGATGCTCTTAAAACTAGGGGTGGCAAACGGGCATGCCTATCCTGTTTAGGTCTGCCCCGCAAAAGCCCGCAAAAAAATGGGATAGACATAGTTGAGGATGTAGACCTAAAACCTAGGACCTCCCCTCAAAAAAGTGAGGACGTGGCAGGGAAAGTCCGCTGGCACT